ACATGGCCGGTGTAAGTCACGTGATTGAAACCGAGTTGGCCAAACTCTCTCTATCTACGGCTCTGCAACCAATCACACGTACGCGTTTACAATTTCCAGTTTCTTATTGGCCAGTGAAAACGGTGACGATATACTTAAATATACAATGTAATGTTCACGTTTTTATACTAAGTTTACATTAACATTTCCTAAGTGGTATTATAACGTAACTAAACTTAGTATAGACGCATGTCTATACTTAGTCGATTCGTAAACATCATTGCCGTCATCATCATCACCACTATCATCTGATATACTTTAAATAAGCATCGCAGCCCTAGAAAAAAAAAACTTTAAATAATAATAGAAACGTGTACATTTTAAGTTTTTTCTTAACATTTTCACGTTTTTATACTAAGTTTACTTATATTAAAGTTTTTCTAAGTGGTATTATAATATAAATAACTTAGTATAGACGCATGTACATCTGTCTCTTATACACATCTAGATGATATAAATAACTTAGTATAGACGCATGTACATAGTCAGTTTGTCCTTAAAGCTGTTCAATAAATCTTATTTCAGCGGATGGAGCAGGTCCAGGAGATGCTGCAGATACAGGTGGATATTTCGACTATTACTAAACAGTGCCATTTAGACCTCATAAAAACATAATATTATATTTTCAACACATACTTAGTCGATTCGTAAACATCATTGCCGTCATCATCATCACCACTATCATCTGATATACTTTAAATAAGCATCGCAGCCCTAGAAAAAAAAAACTTTAAATAATAATAGAAACGTGTACATTTTAAGTTTTTTCTTAACATTTTCACGTTTTTATACTAAGTTTACTTATATTAAAGTTTTTCTAAGTGGTATTATAATATAAATAACTTAGCATAGACGCATGTACATAGTCAGTTTGTCCTTAAAGCTGTTCAATAAATCTTATTTCAGCGGATGAAGCAGGTCCAGGAGATGCTGCAGATACAGGTAGATATTTCGACTATTTCTAAACAGTGCCATTATAGACTGTATATATTTTCAACACATACTTAGTCGATTCGTAAACATCATTGCCGTCATCATCATCACCACTATCATCTGATATACTTTAAATAAGCATCGCAGCCCTAGAAAAAAAAACTTTAAATAATAATAGAAACGTGTACATTTTAAGTTTTTTCTTAACATTTTCACGTTTTTATACTAAGTTTACTTATATTAAAGTTTTTCTAAGTGGTATTATAATATAAATAACTTAGTATAGACGCATGTACATAGTCAGTTTGTCCTTAAAGCTGTTCAATAAATCTTATTTCAGCGGATGGAGCAGGTCCAGGAGATGCTGCAGATACAGGTGGATATTTCGACTATTTCTAAACAGTGCCATTATAGACCTCATAAAAACATAATATTATATTTTCAACACATACTTAGTCGATTCGTAAACATCATTTCCGTCATCATCATCACCACTATCATCTGATATACTTTAAATAAGCATCGCAGCCCTAGAAAAAAAAAAACTTTAAATAATAATAGAAACGTGTACATTTTAAGTTTTTTTCTTAACATTTTCACTTTTTATACTAAGTTTACTTATATTAAAGTTTTTCTAAGTGGTATTATAATATAAATAACTTAGTATAGACGCATGTACATAGTCAGTTTGTCATTAAAGCTGTTCAATAAATCTTATTTCAGCGGATGGAGCAGGTCCAGGAGATGCTGCAGATACAGGTGGATATTTCGACTATTTCTAAACAGTGCCATTTAGACCTCATAAAAACATAATATTATATTTTCAACACATACTTAGTCGAT